AAGGACACCCTGCTCATTCCTGTCCCTCGCGCCAACGGCCCGATACCGAGAGGAAAATGTACCCAAGCTAAGATGAAAACTTCCGTAGACTTTCCCCTCTCTGCCTGCCTTCGAGCACCAATCTTGCACGTAAAACGATAGATAACAAATCATACACTTCATCAGCGGCGCTCAGTGTGCGATGGTGAGGCCAATCGAGTAAGTACACAGCGAAAAACAATCCCACGCTGATGTCACATCGAACGGCTCCAACCGCTTTCAACATACAAGTCTGCGTTACCTTCACTGGTCTCATTTGATCAATGTATCGCACAGAGACCGAGCTGCTTCTCCACATACATCTACCGGCACGACAGGCGAACCCTCCCAACGCCACCACGAAACGCACTCACTCACCCATCACCAACCCACATTTTTCTACGACTCAACACATTGACCGTAAGCGTACTTCACATCAGGCCACCCGCTCTAGAAAGACTTGTACTCGTTTCAAGTCGCCGCTATTCGTTTTCCTACCTTCAACTTGAAAAGCTTTTCACCAGCAATCGATGTTGAAACATCACACACCAAGTACATCATTGCAAATACACCAGCGTGCCTCTCCGACCCGCTCAGCTCACCTGGTTGAGGATATTTCAAGCCACTCAACCGCTCCACCGCCGACATCAAAGTAAACAATTGCCCTCTCATCTTACCGGCGCAACTCCGCCCGACAAAATACAAGCTATCGGTAGCACCTACGCCTTCGTCATCCTACAAGACTGGCCGCTCAATATCGTCAACATTAATCGAAGCGTGTTATCAGTCTCGCCATCATACCCCGTTGTCAGTCAATAGTGCAGCATCGATAAATACTGCTGCGAACCATGCTGCATATCCGGCACCGGCACAAATTTAACTACCGGGTGTGTCGACTCAAACGCGACAGCAATATGCGACGAAAACACCTGCTTACTTGGCCCAACGCGCGAAATCAATTTGAACCGCGCTTTAAGCTCGACCTAGTTGAATCGAGGGTTGCCCTAGGCGTAGTGTCGGCCCAACGCATTCCGCAAGGAGTATTTATCGTCGAATATGTCGGTCAAATCCTATACGAAGATGAGGCCATCACCCGGGAGGATCGCCGCTACCAAGCCGAGTTTCGTACCATAGCCGAATGGGTAGCGGTTCTCCTGTATTTGTGGACTCAAAATTGGGCGGTAGCAAAAGGAGGTTTATCATCTATTCCTGCCAACCTAACTCGGCTATGTACGAATTCGACTGGGCAAACACCACGCGACTCGGTATCGTCGCGATGAATTCTATGCCGCCTTTACAAGTGCTAACCTTTAGGTACGACCACCGTAACAAGCAGCTATTTGTTTGTCAGTATCCAGCGCGCACATCACCAGCAATCGGAGCCCCCTGCTCCAAGAAGGATCTACACATGCTTTAACAATGCACTTTGAATTCCTTATTAATTCGGTACACGGTCGTCTCCTTTCCAACCATAATTTCAGGTATGCCAACGCAAAGCAGTCCCTACTTACCTTTACAACCTCATGAGAAATTGCCTGACGTCCGTCGATGTTCTCAGGGCACGCACAACCACCGCGATATATCCTCACTTACGCCAATGTTCGCCCAACAACCTCCTCACACCATAGAAATGCAGCAACGCGGCATCAACAGACCCGTTCTACAGTCTTCTCCATATCACAGATCGAAGACCACAGGGGTACATCTCGCCTCCTTTACTTCGTGACATCCTAACGCTCACCAAAATATCCACCGCTTTTGCGCCGCTCCAGAGTGGCGCGTTCTCGTTAAATCGTCTCCTCGCCGCTAGGCATATAGCAGACAACGATGTCGCCGTAGATCTCAGGTTTCATTCAGCATCGTTCGCTCACAGCAGCTTGGCCAACTATGGTCGCGTAACCGCACGTCCGGTGCCAAAGGTACCATTTCTATCGTTTCTAACTGCATCTTTGGTAACGTTGAAGTAGGAGCTCTTAGTAAACTGCTAACAATGGGGTGTTCCAAAAACCCCAATTTCAGAAAAAGAAAAGAAAACACACACACACACACACACACAAATGCCCTTTCAGAAATGTGATTCCAAGCGTATACGCTCAGTCTTAGGGCTGAGAGAACTCGAATCCCTGAAGTTCCGCAACACGAAGGGCATCTGATCTCGACTACTAGACGCGTCGTAACTCCGCTGGAAAGTTTGTTTGACATCCCCAAACTTATACTCTATTGAATTGAAGGATGAGCAGTAAGAGCGCAGGAAAATGGGAACTACACCAACACTCCTCAGAAAATGGATAGTTTCAGGGTGGCGATAAATTCAAGCTCCATCCAAAATCCAAACAAATTGGAGCCAGGATTTTGGCGGAGTTTTCATTTGGTAGAGTAGACAAAATCACTGCAACATTGGGTGCCTTCCAAAAATATATTAAACGGGTGCCATATTTGCAGCTGATATGACAGTCATATCCGAGGCTTATGCCGTCATTTGCCAACTAAACATTTACCAAAAGTGGCATAAAACTACAGTTCCTGTCCT